TTAAGTTAATTCAGCTAAAAGATATAAATATCTTTACGAATTCATATAAATATTAATAACAACAATCACTTGGTTTTTAATTGTAATTATAAATTACAACAAAGTTCATTAAATATCTCCAAACATATGAGATTAGTTACATGAGTTTTTTGTTTGATTCCATTATATTTCTTATTGTCGATTTTGAAAATTACTGATTTTCGATTGAATGTTCCTGTTGCTAATATATTGAAAAGATTCATAATGTGATTTCAATGCTCAAATTTGGTATTACAATTAAACTTTTCGATTAATTTCATTGAATCGTTCATAATTTTTTCATAAAACTTACTGAAATGTTTTCTTTTAATATTTATAACATAAATTTCCTGATATATTTTAAGAAACTCGGTTCTCAAAGTCCTTCTTTTTCTGGTTTCACTTGATATCTTTGTGATTTACTTAATTCTTTCTAAACAAATACATTACAAATAATTGATCATTTCAAATTTTTTGTCTATATTTTTGATGAAATTATAACATAAAATATTCAAGATCTTATAGCATTTTTTATAAAAAATAATGTAAAATCTTTTGATTTATTTTCTTGATTTCTGTTAAGTTAATTCAGCTAAAAGATATAAATATCTTTACGAATTCATATAAATATTAATAACAACAATCACTTGGTTTTTAATTGTAATTATAAATTACAACAAAGTTCATTAAATATCTCCAAACATATGAGATTAGTTACATGAGTTTTTTGTTTGATTCCATTATATTTCTTATTGTCGATTTTGAAAATTACTGATTTTCGATTGAATGTTCCTGTTGCTAATATATTGAAAAGATTCATAATGTGATTTCAATGCTCAAATTTGGTATTACAATTAAACTATTTACTCAATTAAATATGTTGATAAATCAAGCTATTTTATAATATGTGGATTTTCATCGAAATTCAAAAGAAATTAATAATATCTATTTGCTTTTCTGCTGCAACACTTCTTCATTATCTACTCCTTATATATAACACAATTTTGTTAAAGCAATAATTGTAGTATGGTGAATATTGGGAAATATATTATTCTCAAAGATTTTGTTGATTCCATTATTAAGTATATTATTCATATTTTTTGATATTTACAACGAATTTATAAAATAAAAGATTCCTAATATGCTTAAGATATTCTCACAGATTTTATGATATAATTTTTCAATTGATTCCATAACTATGCTCGTAATGTCGTGTGATGTCGTCAGTTAAAAGTTACTGAATTTTGTATATTTGCATAACTTTTCGATTAATTTCATTGAATCGTTCATAATTTTTTCATAAAACTTACTGAAATGTTTTCTTTTAATATTTATAACATAAATTTCCTGATATATTTTAAGAAACTCGGTTCTCAAAGTCCTTCTTTTTCTGGTTTCTACTTGATATCTTTGTGATTTACTTAATTCTTTCCAAACAAATACATTATAAATAATTGATCATTTCAAATTTTTTGTGTATATTTTTGATGAAATTATAACATAAAATATTCAAGATCTTATAGCATTTTTTATAAAAAATAATGTAAAATCTTTTGATTTATTTTCTTGATTTCTGTTAAGTTAATTCAGCTAAAAGATATAAATATCTTTACGAATTAATATAAATATTAATAACAACAATCACTTGGTTTTTAATTGTAATTGTAGATTTAATCTCTTACAAAATGTATTACAAATTACAAGAAATTTCATTAATTATCTCCTAATATATGGAATTATTTACATGAGTTTTTTGTTTGATTTCTTAATATTTGTTCAATATAAGTTTAAAATTTGAGAAACATTTTCTTCTCGCAAAATCTATAGTTATTATCTACATAATATTTCGTTTGATTCTATGATGAAATCCATAGTAGTCAGTTAAAAATTAATGCATTCTGTATATTTGCAACTGTTGTTTCTACCCACAATTTTGTAGCACTTGTATTAAATTGATTGCTTTTACATTTTATGTTAAATTTCTGTGTCTTTCAAGGCCTTTTTTTTCTTGTTACATAATTCTTTGATATTATATTGCAGTCTCTCACTCATTGATAGAAACTTGAATAGTTGTAAATTTAAACTGGAAATAGTATTCTAAATAAATTTTGATTTTCAGTTTTTTCAGGAACTACACACGTATTCCTTCAGGATTCTATAACTGTCGTGATTTATACACTATTACCTCTATGTTCAGCATAAATGTAAGAATGCCATTCGTATTTTTATACAGTTAATATTTTACAAAATTACATCAATTAATGGTTGTTTATTACATAAATTTAGTGTATAAATTTTTAAATCTACACATTTCTATGTTCTCCATACGAAAATGATAATATGTACTAGAAAATGTATTTGAAATTTTAGTTATCTTTGTTCTAAATCTTAAGTCTAAATGTTTAATTTTTCAATTTGTCCATTACAGCCAAACATCCGACTTTCATATGTATCATCTAGATCCATTCAATCTATTGTAGTTTTCGATTTAATCCTTCGTTGTCTTCTTAAAAGTTACATCAATTTTGCTACTAGCATCACGTTGATTGTATTGAATTGTTTTTCACTTGATTTCCTTGTAGTTAATTTGTATGTGTTTTTGGTGAACAGTTTGGATAGAAGAGTCTTACGATGAAGGAAACACAGACATTCACGATAGCTGTGGTTACACCAGAATGTAAATTTGCACAGAAACAATACACTATACAAAGAACCTTACCGGATAGTTAGAGGCGAGACAAGAGACCGATTATTTTGTAAAATCTCGTTATGTCTTTGTTGACTTGTCTATAGTACATAAATGGATTATATGTTAGTGAAGATCGGTATGGGCTCAAGCTTTCCTCTCTTACGGCCAAAGACCGATTATAGACTTTTATCTGTCCTTCCTGGAATACTCAGCTACGTACGTAGATCATTTACAATCAAAACTTTCTATTTTTTGTGATTATTTTTACATTTTATTTAAATTTCTGTGTCCTTCAAGGCCTATTTTTTCTTGTTACATAATTCTTTGATATTATATTGCAGTCTCTCAATCATTGATAGAAACTTAAATAGTTGTAAATTTAAACTGGAAATAAAATTCCAAATAAATCTAGATTCTCAGTTTTGTACTTTATAATCTCTATGTTTGACGTAAATGGACCATTCGTATCGTACAAAATCACATCAATTTATTGTTGTTTATTACATAAATTAAGTGTATAAATGTTGAAATCTACTCATTTCTGTGTTCTTCATTCGAAAATAGTTATCTTTGTTCTAAACCTTAAGTCTATGTGTTTAATGACATTATTTTATTGTAATTGCTTTAATTTTTTAATTTGTCCATTACAGCCAAATATCCGACTTTCATATGTATCATCTGGATCCATTGAATCTATTATAGTTTTTGAGAAAATCACTAATATGTGTGATATCTCGTTGCTCTTCAAACGATCTTTGATCTACTGAAATGTGTTTGTTGTGCTTTTTAAGACGTTATTTCTTTCTCCTCGCTCCAAATGATAAAGAAAAAGAAAGAAAATGTATGTAAAATAGTTCACGAATCACATATATTACATTAAAAACAACATAAATGACTTGTGCTGGACCTGCTTTATTAAAAACAATCATGCAAATGTAAAGCCAAACATCCGACTTTCATATGTATCATCTGGATCCATTCAATCTATTATAGTTTTCTAGAAAATCACTGAAATGTGAAAGTGCTGCTTTTAATATGTTATCTGGTTTTACATCGAACGCTACATTCCCGTATATTATGGTTATTATGCAAGTGGACAAACATCTCTATAGTTTTTGAGAAATTTACTGAAATGTGATTGTGGTGGTTTTTAAGACGTTATTTCTTTCTGCTCGCTCCAAATGATAAACAAAAATAAAGAAAATGTATGTAAAATAGTCCACGAAATACATATATTACATTAAAAACAACATAAAAGACAATGTAAAGCCTAACATCCGACTTTCATATGTATCATCTGGATCCATTCAATCTATTATAGTTTTCTAGAAAATCACTGAAATGTGAAAGTGCTGCTTTTTAGTATATTATCTGGTTTTACATCGAACACTACATTCCCGTATATTATAGTTATTATGTAAGTGGACAAACATCTCTATAGTTTTTGAGAAAATTACTGAAATGTGATTGTGCTTGTGATTTCAAGACGTTATTTCTTTCTCCTCGCTCCAAATGATAAACAAAATGAAAGAAAATGTATGTAGTTCACGAAGATGTGTGCTGAAGATGCTGAAGCTGTGCTAAATACTTTATTTTCTCTGGTTTGCTGCGCGCAATCCGGAACTTCTCTTCTCATCGTCTGTAATTGATATGTTAACTCCTGTTATTAAAATCAGGTTAAAATTCGCACTATGCGAGGAATAGAATCCACTGCAATTTAACACTGCTCTTCTCCTTCGCTCAAGCTGTAGCTTGCGCTGAAGCTGGCGTCACCCTAATCTCGCCTTTCGTAGGCAGGATCTTGGATTGGTATGTCGCCAATACCGATAAGAAAACATACAAAGGAGAGGAGGATCCAGGCGTTGTTTCGGTTACGAAGATTTATAAATATTATAAGAAGTTCGGTTACAAGACCGTCGTCATGGGCGCTTCTTTCAGAAACATTGGTAAAAAGAGGATAAATTAATAATGTAAATTAAATTATAATATTTGTTATTTTGCAGAGGAAATCAAGGCTTTGGCTGGATGCGATTTGCTTACCATCAGCCCGAAACTTCTGGGTGAATTGGAAAAGTGCGGAGATCAATTGGAAACCAAATTGAGCAAAGAGGACGCAGCCAATTGTACCTTGCAAAAGCTGGACATGACTGAACAGAAATTCAGGTGGATGCTGAACGAAGATAAGATGGCAACCGAGAAGTTGTCGGATGGAATTCGCAACTTCGCCGCAGATTGCATTAAATTGGAGAACATCATCAAAGGATTAATGAAGTAGTAATCGATGAAACAATAGTAACATTCCATTTTATATTACTATAATAAAAATCACAAAAATAACCGCCCTCATACTAGAATTTGATTTTTAACTGACGTGTCTACGTCCTAGTTCTGCGGATTTAGTAGCCGCACATTCTATAGCGTCCATTATTGCCGCCCTGTAATAAAACGAATCAAAACGGACGTATTTCAACAATTATATATATAAAGATTGTTTACCTCACTCCGCCCTTTTCAAGCGCATGAACACCTGTGATTGTAGTACCACCAGGTGAACAGACCTCGTCCTTTAACGCCCCGGTGTGTTTTCCGCTCTCGAGCACCATCTTGGCTGCTCCGAGCATGGTTTGTGCAGCGAATTGTGTTGCCATCGCTCGTGGAATTCCCATTTTAACGCCTCCGTCAGACATCGCCTCGATCATTAAATATGCCTAATAAAGAATATAATAGTTGTAATAGGATTCTATTGCAACGCGCACGATAACTTACAAAAGCAGGACCGCTACCAGCCAAAGCTCCGATAGCGTCGATCATGCCTTCAGGTACCATGTAGCAAATTCCAAGAGCCTCCAGAATGGTTCTAACTATTTTAACATCATTCTCCGTTGCTCCCTCTCCAGGGCAATAGACGGTGCAACCCTCGCCCACCATCATCGGCGTATTCGGCATGGTTCGAATGATGCGGCAAGAGTCGAAGCTCCTGAAAAGCTAAAACATTAGCATTAGTTTCGATTGAAGCGCATCTATTAGAGAGAAAACACAAAAAAACAAAACTAGTATAACACGCACATTTTCCAACGCCTCCAGCTTGATGCCAGCTATGATGCTGACGAACAACTTGCTTCGTATCTTGTGTCTACTGTTCATGCAGATATTCGCCATCGCTTCAGGCAAGATGTGCGGTTTGACCGACAAGAAGATCACATCGCAGATCTCGCAGACGGTGCCGTTGTCCGTGTAAACGTTAGCGCCCTGCGACTGCCAGGACTCTAAGCTATGCATGCGCGGCCCCGAGACGTAGATCTGCGAGTACGACAGCAAACCTTCGGCATAAATTTAAATAATTAATGCTAATTGAAAGAATTAAAGACGCAATTGGACACACCTTTCTTGACGATGCCTCCCGCTATAGCCTTTGCCATATTACCGCCGCCGATAAAGCCGATCTTCAGCTCCTCGAACCGTTTGGTTCCTTCCGAAGTCATCTTCGAAATTCAAAAATTAAATACCTTCAACGACCTAACGACAAGCAGCTTTTCAAAAACAGGTTAAGTAATTATATTACCACTTGACACTGACAGACGGGACTGCCAATGTCACATATAACATTGGTTGGCATCATTGAAATTGGAAAATTTTAAATATTTTTGAACTCTTTAAATTATTTACAACTTTCAACAGCAAAATTAGTTACATTGAATTACATTAAACTCGATTTGAAACTGTCCCAATTAAGATTTCATCTTTATTATTACAAGATTTATTGGCGATTCAGTTCTTTGGTTATGATTGTTATACAATTGACAGTGAAATAATCAGCTTCAGGAAAAATGTTGAAGTTAATGAAAAGACCTCATCTAATATTAAGGTAAATTAATATGTTATAAACAAGTAATGGTCTGCAAAGTTTTTTTTAGTTGTAGGACGTTTTATGTAACGCCTAAAAATAATTGTGAAGATGAGCCAATTGAGAGGCTCTCCTGTGTTGAAGAGAAGATAGGTTTCATAGGGGATGGAAATATGGCTAAAGCTATTTTCAAGGGAATTGTGAATAAATGTACGACTTTTAAGAAATTGTCTAACAAATGCCTAATCAATGTCTTTCTATAGGTCTGATACAGCCTAATCAAGTAAATGTTTCAAGTCCCTACATTAAAAATTTGGATGTATGGAAAGAGATGGGTGCTTGTGTGAGCACTGACAACGCAGAGATTATGGAAATATCAGATGTTGTATTTCTTGCTGTGAAACCTCACATATTACCAGAAGCTATAAAGAATATAGAGAAGAGTCCACATGCAGCTAATATCAAGAACAAACTGTTTTTATCCATATTGGCTGGTTATAAGATATCTAAATTAGAGAAGGTGTTTTGTTTTTAATACATCTATTTTTTTCTTCTTCTAAATTATTTACAATTATTCTTATTTGATAGATGTTGTCCTGTTTCGAGGGGGCGCGCGTCGTGCGCTTAATGCCTAACACCCCGATGATGGTTGGTGCTGGTTGCACGGCATTCTGTCCAGGTCACGGAGTCACTGAGCACGATTTGATGATAGTCAGAGCTATACTGGAAGCAACGGGAATCTGTCACAGGGTTCCCGAGAATATCATAAACGCTGTTGGAGCGTTATCCGGTGGCGGACCGGCTTTCGTCTATTTAATGATCGAAGCCCTATCAGATGGCGGAGTGCGTATGGGAATGCACAGGGCGATGGCCTCGAAATTCGCAGCTCAGACTGTAATGGGTGCAGCCAAAATGGTATTGGAGACTAACAAACATACGGGTCAATTGAAGGATGAAGTTTGCTCGGCCGGTGGAACGACCATCGCGGGAATGCATGAACTTGAGAGGGGTCGCGTCAGGTAAAGCGATTCGTTTAAGATCGCAATCCTAAGGAGTAATAATAAATGTTTGTAGGGGATCAATTATGAATGCCGTGGAGGCCTCCGCCAAGAGGGCCGATCAACTTGGAGGGCAGTAATCAGTTGCTAGTGGATGGTGCCGCGTATTCGACGCACCTGGACGGATCCGTGGGGAAGTACTCCTGGCATTTGGTCATCAATCGTTTCAACGCTTGAATGTACTTCCTCTGGGTCTCGTCGTTCATCACGTGCGCCACGTTTTTGGAGAAGATCTTCTCTCGGCCGGTACGAGCGTGGATACCCACCATAGTTACACCGATGGGCCACGGTGCGTTTCCTATGGCCATCTGCAGATAGGCATCGCTCGCTTTTAAATAGTTTCTATTGAGCAGATGCTGTACGATCTCTGTGAGACTGTCCGAGATGTCCTCTGGCAGCGTGTGCGTGCGTAGCTTCCTCAGCAGCGGTTTCAGGTAGACTTGGGTCTGGGTACAGGTGGCCCCGGCCAGTTTTCCTTTGGTTCCTCGTTTCTCTTGTGCGGACCGAGTTTGCAATTGATCTTGCCACATTTTCAATAGCAACTGAAAATAAGAACATTCATTTAGTGATTTAAATTTCAATATACCAATAAATATAAAAGTATTATTATTACTTATTTTAAAATTAAAAACCACTTTCCAATTATCTTTTATAAAACTCCATTAAGAAAACCTACTAAGTCCTGCATTTTCTATGGTTTCTACTCATAATTAATTTCGTTAAAATATTATAAATAACGTGTGTACGGTTTCATACAAAATATATTTTGTTATCTTATTATTATTATCTATAATTCGATTGTAGATAATACATTTATACTATTAGTGTTTTAATAGCTCAGTTGTACAAAAGAACAAATTCGTGTGCGGAAAATATAAATAAATAAATATGATTCTGTATATAACTGTTATGCCGGTGATTATGTTCATATGTGGGATTATCATTATTGTGGCAGCAAACAGACGCGAGAAATCCATCAGGAAGTTGATTGACCAAGGTAATTAATCTATTTCAAAAAAGGATCTCGTCCATAAACGAGAATAACTTTCATTTCTCATAATATTTCCATTTCAAAAACAGGTTACCATTTCGTATTGGGATGGAATGGAAGGATAGTGAACATAATTCCACCAACTATGACCACGGAAAACATGTATAATAACATCAACTACGGTAAATAATATGCTAAACATATCTTCTAATAAAATAAATGAAACATTTACTCTTTTTCAGATACTTCATTGCGGTTTTGAAGCGCAACTCCGAGAAACAATGTACAAAACGAAACATGTGTAATAACTTATCTGATCATTAAAATATTCTGATATCAATTGTTTACATCTTTTAGGAAAACTATATTATTTCCATCTTTTTTTTGTAATATTCCTCCAACTTAAAATGTTAATTAAATTAGTAAATTTCCAATGTTTTTTCATGTTATACCCATGCCACAATCACTTGATACTTGACAAAACTAACAGAAATCCAAATAGCTATTATTCTAGAAAGAATTTCGTGTATTGAGAACAATCTAATTCTCAAGTTTGCAATTAAACTTGCCACATTTTCAAAAGCAACTGAAAGTAAAAACATTCATTTAGTAATTTAAAATTCAAAACCACTTTCAAATTATCTTTAATAACTTCATTAAGAAACCTAATAAGTCCTGCACTTTCTATGGTTTCTACTAATAATTAATATTGTTAAAATGTTATAAATAAAGTGTGTATGGTTGCATACCAATATATATTTAGTTATCTTATTATTATCTAGAATTCGATTGTAGATAATAGATTTATACTTTTAGCGTTTTAATAGCTCAGTTGGAAAAGAACAGATTCGTGTGCGGAAAAATATAAATAAATAAATATGATTGTGTATTTCTCGATTATGCCGGTGTTTATGATCATATTTGGGATTATGATTATTGTTGCAGCAAACAGACGCGAGAAATCCATCAGGAAGTTGATCGATCAAGGTAATTCAAAAAAGGATCTCATCCATAAACGAGATTAACTTTCATTTTTCGTAATAATTCTATTTCCGATTCAAAAACAGGTTACCATTTCGTATTGGGATGGAATGGAAGGATAGTGAACATAATTCCACCAACTATGACCACGGAAAACATCCATAATAACATCAACCTCGGTAAATTATATGCTAAACATATCTTCCAATAAAATAAATGAAACATTTACTTGTTTTTCAGATACTTCATTGCGGTTTTGAAGCGCAATTCCGAGAAACAATGTACAAAACGAAACATGTGTAATCATTAAAATATTCTGATATCAATTGTTTACATCTTTTAGAAAATCTATATTATTTCCATCTTTTTTTTGTAATATTCCTCCAAATTTTAATGTTAAGACCAACATAAAATGTTAGTTAAATTAGTAAATTTCCAATGTTTTTTTTGAACACTTGATAAAACTAACAGAAATCCAAATAGGTATAATTCTAGAAAGAATTACGTGTATTGAGAATAATCTAATTCTCAGAAACTCTCCTGATGATTATCTGCATCATGCTAGATAATATATTTAGTATAAAAGATTAATAATTAATAAAATCTCTCTAAATTTCGACGAAAGATAATGGAAAAACAATAAACATGTACAGTACAGATGGATTTCCTGACGTAATTCAATCGAGATAGCAATAACGCAAAAACAGATAAGTGAACCATTTATCAGGTAAAAGCAAAACCAATCAAGATAGTGACAATATAGGAGATATTGAATTACACAAAGAAATACTTGTCCGTGCGTTTCATTATTGGATAGAACGAAAAAAACATGGAGTTGGTAATATTTTCATCAGTTATGGTCGTTGGTATTGGTTTCTTCATCTTCGCCAACTGCTACAACGTTTACAAAATCAGAAAGCTCGGAAAAATGATCAGTGATAGCGGTAAATATATGCGAGATAGCACAGTCATATTTAACCAACAAAATGTTTTCCATTAAAGGTCTTGTGGTTACTGCACACATCCCAGTTGTTTTAGTCAATACCAATCACACAAACCCTGTCTTTTCACCAGATGGTAAGCAATTGCAATTACTTTAAATGTTTCACTAACATCAATGTTTTCCAGGTAATCCTAGTCCACCTACATATGTCGAAGCACAACAACATCAACAGTGTCCACCACCGCCGTACATGTCTCAGGAAAATAAAAATATGGTTTGAGTTCTTACCTCGAGGAATTTCATGATTACATTCATGTCATGGTCCCGGTCACCTTTTCCCATCTTCACAGCCATCTCCTTTATTTCATCATAACTCTTCAGTTCCTCCTCCTGGCTTTTGTTCTCTGAAGCATCCTTGTTCTTGTTCGAGCCAGCTCCAGAAATCAATTCATCCAGATATTCCTGATCCACCTGCTCCATGGCTTCTTGAAAATCATTCCTGAATCCCTGAAGAAACACATATAATTTTAACAATGTTCTAATAAACTTAATCGCAGTTTACTCACCTTATTAACTTCCGGTTCCAATATCTCGCAACGCCTCAACCTCCTGAATGCATCCAGCTCAGATTCTCCGAAAAGCGAGATTGGCTCTGACCTATCTCTGAGTCTGCTGATAACCTCTTGCCTAGGCAACACATTCGCTTCGGAACTGTCCACTTCGCTGCTCGAATACACTGCGAATACAATAAAATTCTAGTTATTGGAAATAGAAAATGAAACAATAAAAACAAACCTTTATTTTCATTTTCTTCACTCTTTGCAGACTCTTTGAAGTTGGTCCCGCATTGATTATGATATTCCTCCGCTTCTTTTGCAATCAAATCTCCTCTCTTGAAATATTTTTTATTTGTACTCTGCAAATTTTAAGGTTAGTTTTATGAAACAATCGAAAAATTATGTTTTCATCAACTTACAATCAAGTTCATGTCCTCCAACATTTTCCTCTTCTTAGCCAACTCTGCTTTTAATACATCCATGGTTTGTCTTCTAGTTGAACTGTTTAAAAATCACTTCGAATAACTTCAACAACAACAATAGCAAATGACATGGAGCAGATGATGGAAAACGGGCAAAATTCCAAAATATTGAAAATTGTGCCCTCTAGTATATTTTTTGTGAACCATCAAAACTTTGAGTCTTCAAAAAGCAGTGTTTTCACATTTCATTGAATTTCTGAAAAATTATAATAGATAGAATGAATCCAAAAGATGCATATGAAACCTGAATGTTTGGGGAATCTAGCAAATATTGATATATTACTGTGGTTCTATCCTTATGGTTGTAATTCGCGTTCAAAGTTGAAAAAAATAAAAAAAAGCAGTGTTTTCACATTTCATTGATTTTCTGGAAAACTATAATAGATAGAATGAATCCAAAAGATGCATATGAAATCTTAATGTTTGGGGAATCTAGCGAGTATTGATATATTACTGTGGATTTATCCGTATGGCTGTAATACGCGTTCAAAGTTAGAAAAATGCTCGAAAAAGCAGTGTTTTCACATTTCATTGATTTTCTCGAAAACTATAATAAATTGAATGAATCCAAACAATACATATGAAAACTGGACGTTTTGGGGATTGTGGCGAGTATTAACTGTTCATTAACAGTGGTTAATACTCGCCTCAATTTCATCCATTTTGCTGTAATTCAAGTTCAAAAAAACATTTTAGTGATTTTCTCGGAAACTATAATAGAGTAATTAAAATGTTACTAGTGGAAATAAAATAAAAAAATTTTAATGTTGATAGTCTTTTTTATTATTATTATTAATTAAAAAATAATATCTTATGTAAATAAATAAATTACAACATATTGTACACAACTAACAAATTCAACGTCTTCATTTATAATTATTATTATTTATATATTTATTTTTTTTGTATCTTTTTCTCTTAACACGTGAAACAGCGTGTCCCCTGATTCCAATACATCTTTCACTCACTCTCCTCAAAGGGATATCAATATCCTAATCGCTTGAGGGCCTTCAAGTCTACGTCTTTGTAATAATCCTCGCTGGACAAAAGAAAGATAAATCAGATCAAATATACAAACAATATAAAATTATATATAGATTAAGTGAAGAAATCTCTTCGTAATCTTATTACTTCGTTACATGGACAACATAAAAAACACATATTATTGTTACAATTATTATTTACGTGGAAAAGTAGAAAAAGTTAAGTCGTGCTTTCAGTGTGTATAAATAAATAATTATTTATATATATTGTAAATATATGCAGAGACACGTAAAAGTGCGTTCATATATTCGATGTGTATCAAGAGTAATTATATATATATAAAAAAAGGAAAGTTTTCGTGTAGAGTGATTAAAAAAGAGTCAAACGGATCAACAGTAAAAATACACATTTATTTATATTCACAGAGTGTTCATATTATTTTCTTCTTCTTCTTCTTCATCATCATTATCTTCATCGTCGTCGTCGCTGCTGCTGCTAAGTAGCTCATGTTTTAGAGTATTTTTTTGTACCGCAAATGTTAATTAGACTATACACAAACTTATACAAAATATATATATAAAATTAAAAAAAAAATCGAAAAAAAAATTCTTTCAATAGGAACAGAAAGGCATTCGTGACGAGCAGATCCGCACAATGAGGGGAGGTTGTGGTTGTGAGTCTCAATGGGTAACGAAAAGATATTAACAAAAATAAAGTAATTAATTATATAAGTAATCTGGTCGAAACGAGTGTAGATCTGTTAAAAGTTGTTGTTTTTTCTTTCTTTTCAGTTTTTTTTTTGTCTGTTGTGGTTGATGTTTTTTTTGTTGCTGTTGCATTACTACTATTATTATTATTAATTAATTAATTTTAGAAGAAGTGGTTTAGTGATCAGCGTCTGAAGAAGTAGAAGGGGCGGGGGCGCTACGAGACTGTACTGGACGGGGTTTAGATGCCTTGTTTCCTACGTTGGCCCCTTTGGAGGAGCTGCTATGCAAACCGGCCAAAAGTTCGCTCTTGCGGATGCTCTTCAGATCCAAGTCGCCGTAGTAATCCTCGCTGCGAAAAAGGGGGAGCGGGACAAAATCAAAAAACAGAGAAAACCAAAAGGGGGTGTCTGTTGTGGATGTGCGTGTATGTCTCTTAGTGTGGGCTTTTGTTTGTTTGTTTGTTTTCAATGAGAATTGTATCATGTAACTATTGAACGTTGATTGAGTGAGTGATTGTGTGTGAGTGTAATTGAAAGAGATAGAAAGAGGTAGATAGAAGCCTCAGCCCGACAACGTAAAACAGTTAGAGTGCGTGCAGGAAGTTATATATATACCTAGTTAGTGTTAAAACTAATGTTTTCTTATTGGGTAGAGACGATGATAACTTACCATCCGGGAACATCTTCTGGGTCTTCGCAGTTTCCGGTACCGTCGGAGTCTCCGATCTTGAAGACGGTTCCGATCGGGCATCCGTACTCGCGGGCTACACCCTCCAAGCAGATGTAGTACTTGCGGCAATCATCCGGATGAGCGTGACGGGAGAACGATCCAGAGTTCGTGACCTCACCGGCGGCTGGGCAAGCGAATCCTCCGGCAACTTCTGCTCAAAACCAAAACAATCCATCAGCATCTAACGTCCACTCATCTGCAGTTGCAAATACAATTACCTTCGTTTCTGCACTCGGTTACTTGATCGGCCCACATGCAGACACGAGATTCGCGATCGTAGGCGAGTCCGGGGGAGCATTGGTACCTGGAGGCCTCTCCGTTCCAGCAGTTCCAGAAGACGTCGCATTTGGCCTCATCGGCGAAGATGCCGTACAGCCTTTCGCAGTGAGTGGAGGAGATCGGATCTTCCAATTTCGTCCTCTCGCCGCACTCGACGTTGTGGATGTAATCGCAGTTTTCGGTCAAGAATTTCGAGTCGCCCGCGTCGAAGGCCAAACCGTTTCCGCAGGTCTTCAGCTCGGCGACGTTGTTGTCGCACTTCCAGTACTTATCGCAGGAGACGTGATGTGGGTAGAAGCCGAAGTCGTCCGGGCATTTGAAGTTTTCCTGAGCTAAAGCTGTACAACAACAAAAAATACCATTGAAGATTTTCATTCATAAAGAAAATTTTATTATCTTAAAATTTAACAGAAGCAACTTGAAATTGAGTTAATGCTGTTTGTAGATCAAGTGTATGCTTGGTGATGAGGGAGATAAAGAACCGATGCAAAATGGAAATATGGAATAGAAAACACACAGCAAATCACTGTGTCCATGAAAAACGTTCTAAATGTCAGCATTTGCATCGGTAATAACCGCACGATTAGCAATTCAAATTGATCTCTTTGCGGATCCATCGGCGGCCAATCGGCGCGATGAAAGTGTCGCTCGATTTTCATCAATTGTTCGACGATTGTTTTTCACGGCGGAGGAGATTCGGATTTGGATTCGGATTCGGAAAAGTCTTCTGCGTTCCACATAAAGTTCCTTCAACCTGGCAAACGGCAAACAAACTCTTCGGGTGTACGCAAATCCCGCAACTTCGGGTCTCGTTTTGCAAATTCCGCGGGCCGCGTACGGTGTACATAACATGTACACAAGAAAAAAAATAAAATAAAATAAAAAGGGAAGGCGCTGTTGGAAACCGCACCCAAAACCGCATTTTCTCTTGCACCGCCGCCGCCACCGCCACAGCCGCTCGGGATTTACATTTTAAAAAGCGAGAATTGGTGTGGGTTAAGGTCGTCCGCTCGCGTTCGCTTGCACTTTCTACCTAGGTACAATTTCAATCAGCAAGAACAAGTTAAATCTGCAAGAAGGGAAGATGGAAATCCGAACGGAAATCCGCAAAGATCGTCGTCTAAAAACCGTAAAAGATTACATCTAGCGTGAAATTATCCAATTCCACTTTTGCTTTGTTTTTGTTATTTTTATTTCCCTCTTCTTCTTTTGGTCGTCTTTAGCCGTTTAATTCTCTCCTTCTGAGACACGTCTTACGCAATACTTTCTCTCCGCTCCACGTAATATCTTCGGCGCGGTGAGGTGGAGGAAGCACGCGCGTTCGCGTTACGCAACGATTTTTAGAAATTTTTTCATCGATTAATAAACATTTTCTTATGCAAATCTCTAATCAGCTGATACAAACTATGTCCGTTTGTTTTGGTCCAGCATATTTGTTCCTTTTGCGACACATTCAATAATTAGTTGTTTGTTTTTTTTAATTTATTTAAGCATTAAATAATCAGAGAATTCCGAGAAATTGTTTACCTTTACCGTCGCGCAAGGAGATTCAATTAGTTATTCAATCGCAGTCGGCGAAATTGCGCAAGCAAATTGAAAATTTAATTGACGGCAATTTCAATCTCGCATTAATACACATTTATATATATATATTTTTTGATCGTCTGGTAAGGTGAAAACTTTCAATTAATTTATATAAAACAATATTCATCATTATAATAATAATAATATAGAGAAATAAAATTACGTTTAATGAAATGATCGCAAAATTGATTAATAATTAAATTTAATAAATTATAAAGGAAATTGATGAAATTACGTAAATATGAAAATCATATTTACACTTAATTAGGATTAAATTGAAAGACATATTTAGATACGACATTATATAAATAATAAATATGCAAGGAGGTTTCCGCGTTGTTTCGTAATACTTCTTGTATATGTTAAAATCACTCGTGTTTTCTTTTTAAATTGTAAATGCAAATAGAAAATAAACGAAATAAAATTGAAATAAGTGCATTTTTTTGGAAGATGTAATAATTTTTATTATAGGCAACCAAATGTACGCGATTTGTGAAATTTGAATTTTATTTGAGATTTAGTAATGAAAATATCGGACATTTGCTGTTGACTTTGATTGAATTTGTTTTCTGATTGTTTTGTGTAATTGTAAGGAATGTATACTAAACGATTGAAGAAGAAAAAGACAATGAAAAGTGCGAATTTCCTTATGCGATTGCGTAATTAAATTTGCGTTTTCGAGGAAGAATAATTTAAAAGAAATTAAAATGTACTTGAAGAAAATAAAAATTAGAGAATGAGAAAAGGGGAAGAAAGAAAAAACCGTTTCCAATCGAGAATGTGAAAATTAGAAATTTCCTCCGGCGCGAGATTTTACATGGCACACTTATGGAGAGTGCACTAAATCAAATAAATGCACTTTCTTTAAATTGATGATCTTGATGATGATAATACCGATTGAGTGATTTTTCTTTTGTCGATGAGTGTTTTGTTATTGGATATATGTATTTTGTTTTTACTACGTACCGGATGAGGAGAGTGCGCCGAGCACGACGACGAGTACACAGAATCTGTTCATTTTTGTAAGTTCTTCGCCGTGGCTGTCTGATTCAATTCCAAACAGATTGTTTCACAAAGTTAAAACTAAACTGCCTCGAATGCTAACTTTCTCACCTTTATATCCCTCGTCCCCCTCCTGCCCCCACACGCACACATGCTCACACTCACGCGCTCACCAATGCACACACACATTCACAACATACACAAACAGAAACTCTTTGGAGCCTCACCATCGAAAATACACACTCACAAGGAATACCCAATGTATGCTAAAACAGAAGGAAAAAAAAATATGTAAACGAAAAAAGAAAAAAAGAGGCTCGTATTCTGTACGTAAAATCGTTATGCCTCATGTAAATGCAAAGAAGAAACTTTTACTTCGACGACGCTATTGCTTTTTGGAATTGTAAGTGAAGACAAAAATATAAACGTTTACACACAATAATCGATTTTCATGATAATCATTACAATTTATTTATTGTTCGCTTCTTGCAGCAAAAATTTCTATTTATTTATGCGTTATATTTATTATCATTTTATCGTTGGTCGAAGGTGGAAGGCATTGGCTTTCGAATTGGATCAAGACCGAACGGGTCCCTGGGCTCTTTGTTGCTCTTGGCTTTCTTGTTATTATTATGACTCTGACATTGCCGCCATCAAGATGAAGAGGGACGAAAATGATTAAAGAAGAAATAATGATAATAATGAAACTGGTGTAATTGCAGCAATTTGCTGCTCATATTTTTCAATAAAACTTTCACCGAAATTGTTCGCATTCAATGGTATAATCATTTGTTTCTTCTGATTTCTTCGTACCTCATCTATTCCGATTCATTTTTTTCGTATTTCTTTTGTATAATTAGAAGTGAAATGAAAAGTGGATCTCCTTGAGGATGGATGGATGGCTGGCAGGAATCCTGCATCGATGCAGGTAGATACATCGTTTATGCTTTTCTTCCTCTTCGTATAAGCTTCATTCTCGACTCCGATACAACAACCATCAAGAGATTTAACATCACTGTTCTGAAACATTAATTCATGCATCAATTTAATCCTCATTTCAAACTTCAATCTTGATTTTCTCTCAATGTAGGCTCAGCGGAATGTTCAAGGAAATTGCTCGCAGTGATTTATTCAACGATCATTGAATAATCATAATCTAAATAAACGAGAATCGAAACGAAATCATGAGATCGATTTCCACTCGATTTAAACCTGTTTCGTTTCGGATTTATATAATTATTGCAAATTTGTTGCGTTACATTTTATCATTTAATTACAAGCAACAACTAAAATCTTTGCATTCCAAAATTATACATGTCACAAAAAGAGAAAACCAATTATTCTGGCTTAAATGAAACGTACATTAAGTATCGCAGACTGATTAAGTGTTTTAATTAAAAAGAATATAATAATATCCAATTTACAAGTAAAGGAAACCAATTATTATGGCTTAAATCTTGACGTACCAAAATTGTATTTATATGAAATCGAGAAGGTTGCAAGTTGCAATAAACATAACTTTCTCACCAAATAGCAATAAAAACAAAAACAGTTATAAAATCTAGATTACTTTGAAGAATTAAGGCAAGGATATGACGGAATAAGGAGCTAAAAGGAAATCTATATTTAGCAAATAAGTTATTAGTTTGTGCAATGCAATAATTTTAAAAAAATCTGTTTTTTTTAGTATATTTTTGTAATAATTTATGTAACTTGCAAAAAAAATGTTTTATTGTACACTTTTCTTTAATATATACTGAACTGATGAACGAAAAACAGTTGTAGAGAAAAATCTCGTTTTTACTTTTACATTTTTTCTAAAATAAACGTTTCTAATTTCTTAAACATCAATGGTTTCTGTTACTCGTACAAAAAAAATGTTACATTCTTTACTTCAGACTGATTAAAGAGTAAGTCTCTCTCTCCATCAATAGTTTTTGTATCTTATAAAATAATGTTCCTTTCTACACTTTACAAACATTTCAGAATGATTCTTTTCAATGGACGAACGAAGAAAAAGTCACATTTTCACAGTGACTCCTAAATGAAACGTAACTCTCCCAATGGAGATGTTCAATTAAACTTTTACAAGACACAACTCGTTACAAACAATCACGTAATAAACGCAATTACGAGCCGAGTTTACTATTAAATCATACGCGTTTGTCCTTTCCAATCTTTGGGTAATAATTACGAAATACATTTTCACTGAACGTTTTGACAAACGTGTCGAAAACATTAATTTATTTTATGTTTAAACCCAAGTTAAGTCATGATAGATTATCTAAGAGATTTGCACTAATTTATTAAAGAATATAAACGTTTGTATCAATGAGTTTCTTTCCAATTTTCAATTATTTTTTAGAATAAGAAAACAAATGGAAATTCGTAACGTCAATGGGAAATCAGCATTTGTTTTTAATTAGTGTTTTTTTTTAAAAACAAATGTATGTTGATGTATGTTGAATTTAATAAAAAACAAATTATTAAATATTCGATTCTTCGCGAATAAACCGGTTTTTACAAATAAAACTAAGCTAAATCTGATTTATTTATAAAGAGATTTGTGTTATTTTTCGAAGAATCTTTCGATGAATCAAATAAATCTACCTGAAATTAATTATTCAAAAAAAAATAAAATAAAAGGTACGTTGCAACTTTCAAATTAATTATCTTCTGCATGCAGGCAACAACAGTTCGAGCCTTCCTTATATAACGAATCCGTATCTTTTATTGTTTCATCCATTTGGTAATACTCAGCGCCGTACATATATTAATTATATAATAATTTTCTAGCGTGCAAAAAAAAATCTATCAAGTTTCTTTTGCAATTGCCTCTCGTATCTCTTCCATTCATTTTGCAAGCAAGAAACGAATATCGTGCATTGATTTCTTCGGGCTATACCATTTTTGGTACGGTCGAAACTCAATTTTTTTTCTACATATAAATTGATTTCTTCTATTCAAAAGATTTAGATGTTAATTAATGGTATTTTATATACAAATCGTTTTTTTTTTTGCTAAAGAAATTAGAAATTATTAAGTGTTTTATAATGTAAATTACTAATGCACGACAAAATCAGTAAATCTATTTGATAATTTGTAGATTCCGGTTGATTGTATTCAAAAGCGTTTTCACGAAATACGTGAAATACCAAGGTCCTCTCGCTTTTCGGTAAATCATTACTATACTCGTTTTCTTTTCTTTTTTTTTTAATGCGAAAACAACGCATTTCTATATGGAAAATTGTTGAACGTTTTCGATTTGTAATTCTTCCTTTTCGTATAATTCATTCAGTACTCGTAAACGCATTTTTGCGTCAAGATTCCTCTGCGCAATCTTTACAAAACGATGCTGCAGCATTTATACTTGACATACAACTAAGTATAAAATTGGAATTATGTTTATAACGATTCTTTTTAAATGAACTTGCAACAAAAAAAAAGCGAGATTTTAAACGTGTTACATCAGATTTATATAAATTATTACACATTAAATAGTCTCATTAACATTTCGTTGAATCAGATAATCTACTCTTTAAAAAAAAATCTTTAGATTGTAGAGATTCGTTTTGATTGACTACAGTCAAGATTTGCATGCAAATAAATCTTCGTCTATGTAAAAATATCTTGGAATCTTTGATAGGTTTTTACGTTCTTCCATGTTCTTGGAATCTCGCAGCATTGAAGCTAATTGTTTAGTCTTTATTAATTAGTTATATAACGTTTGAGAGGATCTTGACATTTAGAAAACTTGTATTTAAAAAATTAAGATTTTTTTTTGTTGAGTTAATGAAGCTAAATGCTTCAAAATCGATAAGAATCTTTTAATATTAGCATATTTGTATTAAAACTACAAAAAATAAGTTTGTTTTAAACAAATTTTGGACAATTTAATTTATTTATTTTTTACTAAAAATCATAACTTTGTTATGAATTTCAATAGAAAAAAAATCATTTATTTTCAAATTCAATTCTTCGACTTCTTTCTTCAAAGGTATCTTGAGATTCTTCAGCAGATGTTAAAGTAAATATTCCAAAAGAGAATTTGGAGCTGTAAGAACTATCAAACTTGATGTAACTTGAAATTCTTCGAAAATTCAAAAACGAATTAGTCGAGAACTACTACTTATAAACAAATTAAAATTGGAATTCGGCGCTTTCCAGTAAAAACCTCATCATCATAACTCCTTAATGCGAACGCTTTCACCCGTACACTCATCCAAAAACCCAAGGTTTTTCTCGCCTCGAGATCCCCAATTCAACACGAAAGTCGAGCGTTTCAACTTTGAACTTGATAGCACGTCCGAATACGAAGAAAGTCCAGTGAAATTCGAAGAGAAAAAACGACTTTTTTAGTAAAATCTGCACATGCATTTTTCCATCTATTTTCTCACTTGTTGCCTTCGAAAGTTTGGAGAAAGAGACTCGATTTTAATATAAATTACTGTTTTTTTTTTTGTTTCGTATCGTTTAGAAATTGGAAACAGTAGTGTGCGAGCTCCAAGAGAAATTCCACGCAAAAATTGTGCAACGAATTTTAATGTATTTAAGTTGTTTTTTTTTCGTTCAGATATTTCACCGATTAAAAGTTTTTATTTAATATTTTTTTTCTGGTTCCTCTCGGATTTTAGCATAAAGAGAAAATATCTCGCGTATCTTTGGTTATTCGGAATATGCGCGACGTTACGCAATAGGTTAGCTCTTATTATATAGATTTAGAATGGAAATGTTGACATTTCGTTTGCGAGCTAAGAAGATGCGCGCACCTCGAAAAGAAAGTCTCGTCGCTCGCTGGTCTTTCTATTATTATTATTAACCGCAAGCAATGAAAGAAGTTCCATCCTTTTTCTGCTTTCTGTTATTACTACTGTTGTTGTTATTATTATCTCGATTATGAAATTGAAATTTTTGTATCGGGCGAAATGGAATGATCAAATGAAAATTGAAAAATACATTGAAAGAGGCGAGTGTGTGTAGTAAGATTTGTCGAAGCGTATGGCTTGAGTTGAGTTGAGTTGAGTCTCTCAGGGCGTGGACATAGTGAAAGTGAATTTTACTAGAATAAAATTAAAATATTTCGAGTCCATTCTTACGTCGACA